ATTTTCAATACCAGCTGATTTTCTTATTTTTTATTTTATTTCCACCATTAAATATGATATCATATTTCTAGCAAAAGAAAAATTTGTAGATTGCTTCTGTCTGATAAATCATTTGCTTAACATAAGTATTTTGGCTCTTTTCAGCTATTTTTTTTTCCTCTATGGAGGATAGGGATTTTGTAACTTTGAAATTCATCTGGTTCCATAAGTGTACTTGATAAATCTAACTTCAGTCATTTGACCAATCAAATGTTTTTATTCTCAGTAATTAGCATCTAAAACTTCCAGTACATTTATAACTCCACACATTTATCCACATCAGTTCTCCTAAATTTCTTTAATGAAACCCCTTTAACTAAAACAGTGAATATAGCTTTTGTTTCATTTACTTATTCTCAGTCTTAAGTATATACAATACTGCTCAGACTTCAATATAAAAATTAATATAAATCATTGCATAGTTATTTCATGGAGAAATAGGATATAAAGAGAACAATAAATTTGAATTGAAATGAAAAATAATTCCTCAAATATAACTTAACTTTTCATTTTCCTTATTTTAATCAGATGGCTATCTTTATATTTAACAAAGATTAGAAAAATCAATTCTAATAGTTTTGCACCACCACCTACTTATGGCAGTACTTTAAAGGAGATTTATTTTACTTTTTTTTCTTTTAAGATATATTTATTTATACATAGAGAACTGGGGTACAGGCCAGAGGTGCAGGGGAGGAGAGAGGATTCACCAGAGACAAAGTGGGGAGCAGAACAGGGGATGGACGAAGTACACTTCTGAGGGGAGCAGCAGGTAAGACTGGAGAGGTCTGCTGCGCCATGTGGATCACTTCTGGGGCAGGGATCAAACTCACACTGAAGTGTCTGCAGCTAGCTTGCAATGCTGTGTCTAACCCATTGTGCCACCAGAGAGGGCCCTGATTTATTTCACTTTTTATGCAATTTATCAATTGCATGCAATTTTGATTGTAAATACAGTCAAAAATACATAGCTATTTGTCCTTTCTTCCAAATTGTACTTATGCAATCCTTTGTGGAGGATTAAAAAAAAAAAGTGGCAGATCAAAGTATTTCTTTGAACTCCTAAAAAAGACAAATATGTTTAAATGAATCTCTAAATATGATAAATGTGATCTTTCATTCTATATTTCCTTTTATTTTACTTGACATTCAGTTAACAAAAAATAATTTGAAAAACTTACTCGAGGGATTTCAAGTTAACTAAAATATATGTAATATCAAAATATTAATGTGCTTCATTTTCTATTATGTCAGTATTCCTCTGTGTCATGTAAAGATATTCTTTGTTTCCACCAACACCATCATCCCCATGGTGACATTAAAGCGCTTTGCAACTGCAAATGAAAATAAAATACACATGGATACAGTCAATTGAAAACATCCAAAGAGTTCTTGTTTGAGGGTCTTTTCAATTAATAACCACTTAGCAAAAGTCAAACATTTTATTGTTGGGATTTCATAGAATAGACTACACAGAGATATAATAAAAGATTTATTGTCTTTTAAACTTTGAATGACATATCCAGGTGATGGTATAAAGTGAAGCATTTTGTTGTAACTGGTGAAATTATAATAGAAAGGCAACGGAAGTGAGAGCAGGGCCTTCCTGCTCCCCTGGATACAGATAGAGAAACTCCAAATAGCAAGTGAGCAAGTGATACAGGAATCCACTGTTTCATGCCTGCCAGACTAATATCAGGAAACAGTTTATCTAAATTCCGGTGCTCTATCTAGAGTCTGATTCACTGTCGAATCAGAACTGATTCTCTTTGTTTATTTATAAATGTCATGATGACCTGGGAAGTGTTGGTACAATTTTATAGCCAAGTTTATGGAGATTTATCCCCTCTTTAGATTAACTACCTCTTACTGTGTTTTATTTTTATGGTTAATTTTATATCATTGTATATAATCACCCATCTCTTAATTTCTAATTTACTTCTACTTCAAGGTAAATGAAGAAGGAATAATATTAAAACTCACTTCTCAACTGACCGTGGCTTTTTATTAGAAAGATTTGGATTTATTTATATAATAGGAAGATAGAATATAAATTCCATCATATTGTTTCATTTTTCTTCTCATATGTTGTATTGTTCACAAGTGTGACATTCTAGGTGAATTTTGTTAACTCTGTTAAAGGGACTTTGATCCATATAACTGAATTTAATTTGAACCCATTGCATTCTTATCTATTGCAGTCTCATCACAGGAGGAAGATACTGAGTTATTAAAACATATGATTAGAATAAGGGGAAAATGTATGGAACTCCTACTATAGTTTATAGTATACTACCATAAATTTATAAGCTACATTTTAATTGTTTATTGAATTATATCTGTGTTACAGGAAAATCTTTGGAAAGTATAACAGATTGTTCCTTTATATGAAGGTTAAGGTTATAAGTGGTCCCAAGCTAAAAACGCATTTTATTCTTCCTTACCCATTATCTTAGGGTTATTTAATGTTTCAAAACAAATTTTCCATATGTGTAAAGAAGGAAGATATTCAGAAATTCAGTGTTGAATCTACATTTGGCCTAACAAACAAGCATATAGCCAGTATTTTTCAGTACATGCCTCCATTTTTATTTTATTTCTACTTAGACAAAAGTATTTGTTATTTTATTTCTACTAAGACAAAATTATTTGTTCTGTGTATTTTGTAATATTTTAGTGTTGATATTTTACTACTAATGTTAGTATTGGTTTTATGTAAAACGATTGCATTTTAGTCTTGGAAATGAATTTGATTCTTATTTGACTGTTGATGTTTTCCATTACATCTTATCTAGCCTTTTCTCTCAGGTAAATGTATCCCTTTGTATTGCAAGCAACGAAAAATTAGTCATTAATCACTCCCACAGGATGTTCCTGAGTTCTGTAGGAAAAATGGGATCATTTTAATCCTGTCCAAGTTATTGATGATTCTTTGACTTCAATAGAACAACGACAAACTCATCTTATTAAGTTTCTCATTCAGAATGGGAAATTATGAAGAAATACTTGAATGAAAAACATAGATGCTAAAAATAAAGATATGTCTAATTTTACTTGTTTATGATTTTATTTATATATATAGCAAAAATGGGGTATGGGCCAAAGGTATGGGGGTAAGAGGAGCTACCAGAGGCAGAGTGGAGAGCAGAACAGGCAGATCCACTGAAATATAATGCCGAAGGAGCAGTGGGTAAGCCAGGAGAGGTCTGCTGTGTTGTGTGGGTCACTCCCTGGCTGGGGATTATCAATCCCCAATCTTGTGCTCCGTAGCCACTTGATGGCTTCATAGTGCTGAGACTTAACTTCTTGTGCCACCAGTGAAGCCTGATGTCTAGCTTGAAGTTTACACTGTTCTCATATCTTTGGAATGGAGGTACTTTTTAAACTTTTAACCCTGCTAAACAAGTTTGCTTTTGAAAAATATAGACATAGCATCTGTAAATTGAACAATTACCTGTGAATCTAGTTGAAGATAGAATTATCCTTTTGGCACATGACAGAACAGAAGAAACACTTAATTATAAAGGATTGTCATAAAATATAAACGATATAATATACCCAGTAATGAGCATTTCTATGTAGCACTTGAAATATATAAATTTTGAAGAGTCAGCCATTTCCTGTCATAAAAACAAAGCAACAGACTCAAAGGTATCCTAATCAGGGAACTAAGTGAGCTGAAATATTTTAATGAGAGTGAAGGTCTATGTGTCAGGAGATGGTAGCTTAATGAGTTATAGCTTTAAAGGTAATAGAATGACACAGAGAAGATAAACATAATTTATCACAAGTTATTCTCAGGGTGAATGAGTATCCTCCTGCACAGATTGGCATTCGCACTCAAGATCTTGCCTTGAACAGCAAACCAAATTCACCACTCAGAATGCCATGCGTTACTGTGGCTACCACTACTACATGGCCAGAGCTATGGCTCCAGAGGCTTTGGTGGTCTGGGCTGTGGGTATGGATTTGGGGGCTATGGAAGTTATGGCTCTCGCGATGGGGGTTATGGAGGCTTTGTCCCTGGTTATGGGAGTCACAGACATGGCAGCTGTGAAGGAAGGGATTCCCTGGCTTCTACCCACATCAGAGGCCATGAGATAATTGACCAAGTAAACCAAAATTTAAATGAAATGACATCACCAAGTTCTAAAATATTTAGGATATTTTAGGAACATCTACCATCTTTTGTCTCTTCAGGTTGCCGGCTATACCCTGTCTGCATAGTCATAGTTGTCAAAATTCACTGTTAATTTGCAGTAGAGGATCCTAAATTACAATAGCATGGATGGCTTTTATTTTTAATTTTTTTTAAAGATTTATTTATTTATTCGTACAGAACTGGGGTACAGGCCAGAGATGTGGAAGGTGAGAGGCTTCACCAGAGACAGAGCGGGGAGCAGAACAGGCAGATCGAAGAAGTACACTGCTGAGGGGAACAGCGGGCAGGTCAGGAGAGGTCTGCCACACCATGTGGTCTCCTCTGGGGTAGGCGGGGATCGAACTCATGCAGAAGTGGCTTTAGCTTTTTAGTGCTGTGCTTTAACCCGCTGCACCACCAGGGAGGGCCCTATTTTAAATTTGTATTTAAATCAGAAGAGCAGATTTCTAACTGCATGAAACCAACAATGAAGAAAATAACTACTCCATAAAAAGCTAAAGTAATTTGTGTATATGTGTGTGTACATACATATACACACACACACACGCATATATATATATATATATATAATACATCACACTCACACATAAAGGTATATACACACATTCGTATTACTAGATAAATACATGGTACAAGTTAACCATAGCAGTCATTTGGAATAAACTTTTTCCTTTTGTACATTATTGAGCTCTTTTAGTTCAACAACATTGAGCACTGAAATATTAACTGTATATATTTTCATAAATAAATTATGTCCAGCATGAATCACAAGTGCTTTTCTGTTTTGTTCAAAGATTTTGTAGCACGAAAATGTAGTAACAGTATAAAACTTACATTGAAATGTACACTGAAAATGCACTTGTTTTTGTGAATTTCAATCATGTTTTCTTCCTGACCTGTCATGGTGTGACATGACACTATTTTTCAGTATTATCAACTGATAGACATATTTTAAAATTCACCAGTGAAATTTAAAGCTCATTGTCATCAACAGCGAAATAATCTCTTTTAGGCCATGGCTAACTTAGAGTTTTTTTTATGTCTAACAAGTGCCTTTTAATGCTGACATATTTGGCCACTCTCCTACAAAAGGAGGCCTTTTCTGCTAGTATTTCAAATAAGGACTTTCTTAAGAAACATGTATCATCATGCTTCAAACACCATTATATTTAGGGAGTAAAATAAAAGCGAATATCTTTTTTTTAAACATATTCAATCAAACTGAGACAATGAGATAATGAAAAAACAGACACCATTTTGGATGGAAGAGTCTTGCTGAGAAGTGAAATTTCGAGTTGCTAGAAAACAAAACTGGCCAACGCAGTAGGGTATAACCAGCTGAACTTGACTGTGCTCCAGGCATTCTACTTCACCACACTGTCTTGCCCATTTCCTAGTTCCCTTCTTGCGTAAGGACGAATAAAGCATTTGGAAAATTCTGGTCATGTGTCCTTGAAAAAGTCAACTACCGTGTTGATCGTAAAAAGTAATAGACCACTTCTGTTTTGCCTTTTAAATGTTATGATGCAGACTCTTGAAGTATCAGTTTCTAAATTAGCTATGTTGTAGTGAAAATAACTAGTCAATAGTACTAAATCCAAACAATTGAAAAAAATGAGATGCATTTGAAAATATCAATCATGTTTACTGACAGTGTAGCTAGATTTCAAGGTCACCACTCCAGTTTTGTCCATGTTGATACAAATGGATAGAGTTCCTCTTTTTCAGAGCTGAGTAATATACCACAGTGTATATGTGCCACGTATTCTTAATGCACTCATCTGTCATTGGGCACTTAGGTTATTTCCATAACTTGGTTATTATAAAAAGTTAAAGCTACTTCTGAAATAAAATATGTATGATTATGGTTTTTCCTCAACTTCTGAACAATTATATCCCAAGCTTGTCAATGTATGTATAACCACACAACACACAGCATTTGATAACGTGAATTTTAAGTAATGATTATAAGTATTGGTTCATCAATTGTAAAAGTGAAAATGCTTTTTTTATTTTTCAAAATAGTATGAAAAGTAAAAAGTATGCCAGGTATGATGGTCAGTATTCTAAAATTTAAAAAATAAAGTCCTTTCTTTTTTTTTTTTCTAAGTATTATTTACAACAATTGAGTTGATTCTCCCTGACTCTCAAACTTTTCTGTTTCTAAACTCTGAAATAGATAACTCTCTCTTTATACTTAAATATAATGTGTTTTAAAAGTCTATGATAGCTTGCAGAGCTTTTGGGTTAACCCTCTTATTTGTAAGTGAAGTATAACAATCAAAAGAAAAACAGAGATAAAAATATTTAATGGAAAGACTCAGTACTATCAAATGTGATTGCCATGCCTCACAATGAATAAGTCTACTTAGGATCTGCAAAATTCACACTTTGAGATATTTGTCCTTATAAAGTGATGCAATAACCATCTTTCCCAGCTTCACTGAAGTATAATTGACAGATAAAACTGTATATATTTAAAGTATGCCACTTAATGATTTGATAAATGATGCAATGATTTTTAAAGGCCACCTTAAATAGGCAACAAGCTATCTCAAACATTTTAATGAGTGTGAAAGCTTCTCCTTGTGTCAGAGAACAATGAATAGAGCGTTGTGTCCCGAAGGTATAATAAAACTTACACGAGTGGGGTATACATGTGATATATCACATTCTCTGAACAGGGTATATATATATGCGTCCCTCTACACGTGCTGACATTCATATTCCAGAACCTGTCTTGAACAGCAAAGTAAACTTCACCTGTAACACCATGAGCTACTACGGCAGTTTCTACGGAGGCCGGGGTTACGGCTATGGAGGCTTTGGTGGCCTGGGCTGTGGCTGTGGCTTTGGAAGCTATGGGGGCTACGGCTCTGGATTTGGAGGTTACGGAGGCTATGGCGCTGGCTATGGGGGTTACGGATACGGCTCTGGCTATGGGGGTTACGGATGTGGCTGCTGCCGCCCATCCTGCTGTAGAGGATACTGGTTTTCTGGCTTCTACTGAAATTCTACTGGTATCAAGCATCAGAGACCAGGATGATTGACCAAATGAACCAACACTTGAACCAAGCCAACTCTAAAAATATTTAGCACCTGAGATTTTAAGAATCTCTATCATCTTACCTTTGTCTGCTTCATGTGTACTAGTATGCTCTACAAGCATTTTCATAATCTCTTTCATTCTTTATTTTCTTTTCAATAAATTTTCTAATTTGAATGGCAATATGGTTTCATTATTTATTTAATTGATTTTGGACTCTCCATTTCATGGTGTACTTCTCTTCTTGGGTGCTTTAGAAAAACAATCCTGAATTTTGGTTATATGTCCCTTCAACATTATAACAACACTATTACAGAGTTTGTAAGGATCAGTGTGCTTTCCTCATTAACTACCTCATTGTGTCAGTAGTATTATTTTTTATTTGGAATATTGAGTCAGTTACTCTCTAGTTAAACTGAATCTTTTTCAAAATAAATCAAACTAGCAAATAATGCTAATATAAAGTGTAATATCAAGATCATTTAAAAGACTCCAGATTTATTTATTAAATGTTATTTAGTTTAGTTATTTAATTTAGTTATTTGTAATTTAACAAATCTATTTGAATAGCAGTAAAGAAATCCTGAGGAAATACAGAGAAATGGAGGAATTTTGTTTCCTGAGTTTAAACTGTACTACACAGCAGTGATAATTAAAATTATATGTTTTTGGGATTAAAAATAGACACATAGATCAATGGAATAGAGCCAACATTAAATCTATCTATATACTAATATTTATTTAATGATAAAGAAGACACAACCATATAATGTGGGAAGGAGAGTCTCTTTGACAAGTTGGGGAATAAACTACAAAATCTCCTGTAAAAGAAAGAAGCTGGATCATCTTTAACTTCAAGCACAAAAAATAAATTCAAAATTCAATAAAGATGTAGATACAAAGCCAGAAACAATAAAACATAAAGTAGAAAACACCGATGATACATTTCACGACATCGATGATAGGTGACTCAACATTCACAGCAAGGGAACTCAATGAATAAATGAACAATAGTGTTGACCTCAAGTTAGAGTGCTTTTACACAGTAAAAGAAACCCTAAGTATACTAACAAGACATCCTACTGAATGAGAAAAAAATCTTCATGCATTTCCAAATCAACAAAGGGTTAATAGCTATGCTCCCAAAACAAAAAAGCATTCAATTTAACAATGAAAAAGAAAAGAGCCCATTCATAAATAGGCAGCATATCTGAAAAAAAAATATATTCCCAAAGAGTCTGTTCAGAAAGCCTTAGATACATGGGGATTTCATTCTACCTGCTAACAATATCACTGAAAAATAAAAAGAATACATTTGCCCAGCTAGCTAGTCAGACTTACGTGTTAGTCAACCTAGTCAGAGAATGTTAGCTTTCTATTGACTGCACCGAGAGGTGATGGTTCTGTCTCTTGGGGAGTTATTGCTTAGTTTGACAGAGTGCAGCAATAGCCATTCTCTTTCCTAGTGATTAACAGTATTTCTCCACATTTTGGGGATAGACTTCTTTACGAGCGTAATAATCATCATAACTTCTTGGAGAAGGCATTTGACACACCAAGTATAATGTGATGTTCTCATATTATTAAGTCTTGACCATACTGCTTTTCTGGGCTTTAAAAAAAAAATTCCAAAATTTCTGTTTTTCCTTTCTTTTTTGCCTTCTTCCTGCATTTTCCCTGTTATTTCATGAGATTCTCTATTTCCTGTCTGAAACATTCCCTCCCTCCCTCATTAGCTTTTCTGGGCTTGAAAAAAAAATTCCAGAATTTCTGTTTTTCATTTCTTTTTGCCTTCCTTCTGCATTTTCCCTGTTAAGTCCTGAGATTCTCTATTTCCTGTCTGAAACATTCCCTCCCTCCCTCATTAGCAACCCCTTCTTCTCTGCCTTGTGCATTGTTTTGCTTTTAAATGGTACTGTTTGTTTCCTTTCTCAGACCTAGCCTTAATCTGGCAGGAAACATTGTATGGAGAACTAAAATACAAAGTATTTCATTCCCCAACTATAATCTGGGTTACAAGCTAGAGCAGTGTGGGGTGTATGTGGGTGCTCCCAGTCATCTTTGGAACCATTGTTTGAGAAGCGTGTGCCATCTGCTCATAGGATGATGTGTTCTCAACACACCCTGAAATCATGAAATCATCCCACTTCTCCACCTTCTTATTCATTTCTCAGACAAACCCTTTGTTCTTCATATGACAGTGGTCATATGAGTACCAGAGGCAAAATGAAAACTTGGGATCTGAAATAAAATTTCTTATTATCTAACTCCTATTGATTGTGGGGACTTAGATATATTATTTGATGTAATTCCAGCATATCGTTAATTCCAGAGAACTATTGCTTATTTTAGGGAGAACACAGTACAAAATGTTCCTAACCCCAAATGATGCATATCAGGCACAGTTATAAAGGCAGAGTATAGTGTATTGAAATTACTTGATTTACTCGAGACTTCTTACTTCACTTTGATTTAATGAGAGTGAAATATTTAAATTATGAAGTGTTTTATTTTTAGAATGATTGATTAAAATAGAACTAGTTGTTTAAAAAGGCAAATGAGGACCCTCGCTAGTGGCACAATAGGTTAAACTGCAGCACCACGAAGCTCGTTGCAGCGGCTTCACCACAAGTTTGATCCCCAGCCAGAGAGGTGACCCAAATGGCGCGGCAGACCTCTCCTGACCTGCCTGCTGCTCCCCTCAGCAGTGTACTTCAGGGATCTGCCCGTTTTGCTTCCTGCTCAACATCTAGTGAGTCCTCTCCTGTACCCCTGCACTTCTGGCCTGCACCCCAGTTCTGTATGCATAAATAAATAAATCTTTAAGAAAATAAAATTGTTTAATGATATTTTGGATAAGATCAAGTATAAAAAAACAGATAAGGGACCTCCATGGTAGGGCAGCGGGTTAAAGTACATCACTAAGAAGTTAAAGCCACTTCAGCACTAGTTCTATCCCTGGCCCGGAGGTGACTCACATGGCACAGCAGACCTCTCCTGACCTGCCCGCTGCTCACCTCAGCAGTGTATCTCATTGATCTGCCTGTTCTACTCCCCACTCTGTCTCTGGTGAATCCTCTCACCTACACCTCTACACCTCTGGCCTGTACCCCAGCTCTGTATGCATAAATAAATAAATCTTGGAAAAAAAAGATAAAATAATTTAACAATGTATAAGATAGTCAAATATTTCTTAATTGCAACCATAACATTAAACATGAAAGAAAAAGTTTAATGAATTATATTTTATTAGAACTCAACATTCAGTTCATACGTAGACTCAACTTTAAAATGGAAATAGCAAACCACATACCGGATGGAAATATTTCCAATACATAAATGACAAAGCAATAGTAAAGAACGCTTGTTAATAATAACATAGTATTAAACAAACATTAAAATGTACAAAATACTTGAACAAATACTTCAAGAGAGAAGGCTTTCTTAGTGGTGTATAAACTTATAAACTCAGTGTCATCACTGATCAGGTAAAATCAAATTAAAACAGTATTTAGATATCACTCTACACTCTAATTATAAGAAGTATCAAATTAAAAAGTCTAAAATTGCCCAATGTGGGGTACAACTAAACACATGAGACTCTCAGATTGTTGCTGGTACCATAAACTTGCAAACTGTATTAGAAAATTGTTCGGTAAAATCTACTGAAGCTTTCCATAAAAATAGCATTATATATATATATATATATATATATATATTATGAATGCATTCATGTCTTATGCATACCCAACATAAATCTGCTACCAGGCTAGATTTCAATTGAATGGTGCATGGCAGCTTTGTTCAAACCAGCCAAGTATTGTTGTTTTGTTTTGTTTTTTCCATACAAGAACTGGGGTGTAGTTAATGGTAAAGGAGTTAAGAGGATCTGAGATAGAGCATAATAGGCATTTTACTGACATGCACTGCTGAGGGGAGCAGTGGGTGAGACAGGAGAGATCTGCAGCACCATGTGAGTCAGCTCCCTGGCTGGGGGACCAAACTCAGGAAGTAATGACAATAGCACTGAGATTTAACCCCTGGGATCCCAGGAAAGTCCTAGCCAGCTATTCTTTTAAAAAGAAAAGAGCAGAACATTAACTATTCATACAATTAACAGTTCTATTCATATAATGAACTACTTTGTGCAATAAAAGCAGCAAAACTAATGCTACATGCCACAACAAATAGGTATTTCACAGACACTGTGATGTATAGTATAATTCGAGGGAGTGGCGTAGTGCTTGATGCTGTATGATTCCATTGTGTGACATTAAGTACAGGTCAACTTCAAGGGAATAATACTCGTTGGTGAAATCAAGACATAAATTTGGGTAATTTAATTGTGAATAATACAGATGGCCTGTGAATGTGTGCAGAATGTCATCAATGCATGCCTTTAAGATTTGTGTATTTTGCAATAGACCTTCACAACAAAAGAGCAAATGAAACGATGGGTTATGTATTTCTTTAAAGCAAAAAAAAAAAAAAGCTATTTCAGCTCATTCCTTCTTTAAGTCCTCAGATGAATTTACAGAGCTACCCCTGTCTACAAAATCAAAGACCCTTGCCTGGGAACCATAGAATGCCTTCATCCATTCAGCACATATGCAACTGACTTGCTGCTCCTTTGGACAGCAGAGCACATGTACTTGGGGGAATGTATCACTTCATAATTTCTTATAGGCGCAACAATAACTGAATCATATATTTGAAGTCACATACAGTTAACAAGAATTTAGATATTTAATCAAAGATAAGGGCATATCTTGGTAGGCTTCACTGGGAGTCAGGTCAGTTGGAGATCCATGCTTAGTTACAGAGGAACTAAATGGAAGGATGGTTTGTCTTCAATTAGTTCTTTTTTCTCCACTCTGTAGTTTACATTATATCTACATTTTTATAGATGCTGAAGACATTTCTAGCATTAATAGTTTTGTTTTTTTTTGTTATTGTTGTTTTTG